GAATACCTATGCAAGCCATGTCCTCAAATGACAGATGTTGGGAAACTGCCTTGGCAAAATTCAGCCAGATTGTTCCTCAAGGTGGACTGGAACTAGTTACTCTAGCGATGGAGAAGGAAACTTTGGATACATGGAAAGGACAAGCAATTGAAAAGGGCAAGCTCTCCAAGTGCTCTAAATCTGATGTTTTATGTGCACATGTTTGGAAGGTCAGTCATTTAAGTTTATGCTTGCCAACTCTTATCCGCATATTCCAGGACCAGTGGAACTCTTTTGAGTTTAACCTGATCTACTGTATATTATTACTTCATATGTAATTCTTCAAATTCACACAATATACTGGGGGATTACTCCTTTCTTCAAATTCTTCAAACGAAACTACTTTATAACTCCCATATATGAATTCCTGTTAAAGCACTGAATGATATTATTGTTTATTTAAAATATTCAGGCAAGAGTGAAGACTCATGAATTTACATGCAAACGCAAACATCTGTTTGCAATTCCCGGTTGATTCTCGGAGCAGGCTTCGACCACCTCTCGGTGAGAACTTCAAAGGAAATGCCTTTGTTCTTGCCTCAGTGTCATGTTCGGTGAAACACCTGCTAGAAGAACCTCTACATGATACAATCCAAAAAATCCAAGCAGCAAAAGATGAGATTACTGATGAATATATCAAATTGTATGCAAAGGCTCTTGAGGCATCGGATAAATTTTTCCCCTCGATGAGAAAATTAACCATTGTGTCAGATTGGTCGAGATTTCCTTTCCATGCTCTTGATTTCGGATGGGGAAAGGTTTCTAACGCATCTATCTTAACAACTACTGTCCCGGAAACTGCTTTTCTCATGTTGAATCTTGAAGAACCTGGTGGATTCCTAGTTCGAATTGGTATTGGAAGAGAGTATGTGCATGCTCTTATAAGCAACTTCAATAATGTAAGCTACATATAAGGTGAGAGACAATCCATCTAATAAGGTCTTTAACCTCATCATATTATAGTTTAGTATATTATTATGAAATTAAACTCCCATCAAAATGGTTGAGTCACTCTTCATATATGAACGTGTGTGTGTGTGTGTGTATGTATAGATTAGATTGTTGCTTGTATTAATGTGAATGTTGTGACTTGTGAGTATGTAAAATCAGCATTGTATAATACTATTATAATAGCACGTTTTGAAGTGATTTTTTTTATTACAATAACTCACTTTTTTAGAAGTGAATTCTCACAACAATGGGATTCCATTCTCAATATTTACAATTTTTTTTTCCTTAATTTTCCTTTAGTCTTAACCTTCTTTATATTAAAAAAAATTGTCATGATTTTGACAAATAATGTATTCTATTTCTGAAAAAAAAAAAAAAAGCTTAGAATTTAATACCGATGATTAAACTTGTATATATTAGCAAATGAACCCATGTGATATACTTATATACATGCGCAAATGAGTTGATCCAATTTATGAAGTATGACACCTAACTAATTAAATTGGATGGGTTCAACTTTAATAAATCAAACCACCTTTTCTACATGACAACAACAAACTACAAATTAGGTTTAGCAGTCAAGTTAATAGAAAATTTATTTCAACAATATGCTTTAAACAGGACAAATATAGTTGACCCTTTTTTTTTTTTGGAGAAAAAATTAAGTACATTTTTTTTAAAAACAAAACAAAGAATTTCAGCAACAATTTCCTTTTATAATGGAAGTATAAATTGTAGACAAAAAGTATATTTTTGAAGAGATTCATCACGCGTATTCATATTCAAGTTTTGAACGACTTTGTTCCTTTGAAAAAGAAAAAAGTTTTGAACAACTTTGTTTTATTGAAGAAAAAGGAGATTTATTTTTGAATAGAATCGAATATGAACAAATGGCAGCTGGCTAACAATCTTATATTTATGAAGAGCCCACAATATATATGTGAACAAGGAATAAATTTTGATCCAATATTTCATCAAAGCGTGATAAATATATATGTTTGCTGTGGGATGCACCTAAATAAGTCCAGTTTAATTATCAAATTAAGGCCAAAAGTTGACTCTTTCGCTCTTTCAATTGGACCACAAAATGTGAAACAAAGAAAATTTCAGACTGGACAGTGTCTGAATGCATGGGTGGATATAGAAATTGGGGCATTTAAATCCAGCCACCTCAATAAAAAAAAAAAAAATTTGTTCCCAAATTTCCAAATGCCAGTTTAGATTTTCAAGAAATTGTTTCACTTTTGTTGCGTCATAGCAAGATATACCGTTCCCTTTCTTTGGGATTGAATAGTCAATTGATTTTTGACTGTTAAACTTTCACTTCATATAATAATAATAATAATAATAATAATAATAATAATTCATTGATTTATTTTTTTGAAAAATGTTAATTGGTGCTAGTGTTACTGATTAAAATGATATTTCAAAAAAAAAAAATGTAATTAATGTGTTGTTTCCCCTTAAATTTGATGAAAAAATTATTAAATGCAAGTTTTTTTTCTGAAATAATATTTTAACAACTATCTTTAATTAGTGTTTAAAGACATTCATTAATCGGATCATTTTTATTTTTTATTTGATTTTAATATTCTATCCATGAATTGATGAAGTCATGTTTTAGTTTATCTAATAATTAATAGTCGGGACATCACTTTTGTCCCTTATTTGAGTTATATATCCCTTATTTACCTAAACATTTGGAGGAAATTTTTTTCCCTCTATCAACATAATAAATGCCAATTTTAAGCTAAAGTAGGACATCTATTAGAAAATAAAAGAAAATAAAAATTCTTATGACTTTTTTCTCTTCAAAATTTAGGGCACAAATTTTAGGCCCAAAAGCCCAAAATTATTTTTTATTTTCATATGAAAGGGCCAATGATTAAGTTTTAGGTAATTGGTCTTAGGCCTAGAAATTCATTTATATTATATTTTATATAAAAATTATATATCATAATTTATATAAATATGAAAATATAAAATAAATTTTTTTAATTTTATTAAATATATTTATAAAATTTTTAAAATTTTAAATTATATAATTTTTAATTTTTTATTAATATTATTTTTATATTATATCATGTATTATATTTTAAATTATTATATCTAATATTATAGTAATTTGATTTGAGAGTTGCTATTTGCTAAAGATTATTATAAACAAATGATGAGTGGAACATCTCTCAGAAAATGTCAGTACCGTTAGATTCTATGGGCAGATATTGTCAGAAAGGTTGACAAAAATGCTTAGCACAAAGCAATTAACAAAAAGATTAAATAAATTGGGGAGTTACTTTGATTAATAGATTGCATGCATATACGTTTTTATGCCTTCTTTCATACAATGAATTTTTTATTACAATTTTCTAATTTATAACCAATAACATTTATTAAAATAAATTTTAAAAAATTGGTGTTAAATGATAAGTGTTATGGCTTCTTTTTTAATCAAAGACAATGTTCCATTAAAATACCTCCACAATTATAATTAATTGGATTGAAATTAACTTCTTTCATTATTTCTCATAACATCCAATTGTATCATTTATATTTGTGAGATTCATTGATAATAAAACTTGTTGTGGACGTATGATGATGATTATAAGATATATTGAAAAATAATAAACAAAGAAGTAATGAAAATATGAAATGATAGTCTATGATTATAATTAATTATCATTAATTGTGTAACTTAAAATTCTTGTAAACACCAAAAAAAAAATCAAGGAAGACAAGGTTTTTACTTCACATTTTGTTTCGATTGAGATTGATTGTAATAAAATTAAAGTAAAATTAATAAATATTTTATCTTAAAATCTTTAGCTTAATAATTAAAAACGTTTAAAAAAATATCAAAAATCTGATTTCAAATCAGATCTCTCCTTTTCCTTTACGAATATTAAAATTTTGCTCTCTTGATGTAATAAAAAAAATTAATAATATTTTCTTTTCAATGTATTTCACATGTAAAAAATAAATAAATACTAGCATTTTAATATTTTCACTACAATATATTATTATTTCAAAATCAGATTTTAGAATTTTTAATTAGAAACAATAATCTGGTTTTGAGATTACAGTTTTAATGGCTTATCAAATTGTTGCAATACTTTAGCAATGTAATCAGATTCGAGAGCATTTTCCATAATTGTCGAATATATTGTGGAATTAATGCTTTTAGAGCATAACTTTTAATTTTATTGTCAACATTTTACCATTTTCTTCTCCCTTAAAAGATAATATTGTTTTCTCAAAATTTTTAGATGCATATTTCCTTTTTATATTATTTTTTTATTTTTTTGGTTAAAATTATATACAATTTTTATTAAAATTTAAATCATATAATTTTCTTATTATGTTTAAAATTATATTTTATTTGATTTTATTTTCTACATCAACGTAATAAAAATTTTATTTTTGAAATTTCTTATATGTGAATTGAATTTAAATTAATAAAAAAATAGTTATTATAAAATTTTTATTCTCAACATGTTTTAGGTAAGTATAGAATTTAAATTAACAAAGAAAAATAGCTGCTACACTTACCAATTAAATTGACTCTTGTGACTTTCTAGTTTGTACTAAAGATTTAAAAAAAAAAAAAATTTTCAATCTCAAATAATCAAAGAAACATTGAATTTATTTTTTAAAAAAATTGATTATATTCATTCTTATTCTATTATTTTCTTATATTTTGCTAACTTGGACATCACTTAAATTGTCAAACCTCATCTTAAATTTAGTAAATACATTATAAAATAAAAAATATTTTCTCCAATAAATTTTAAGATTAATAAAAAAAAAAAGAACATTCCAGACATTTAAGGATGGTAGGACCCAATTTGCATGTGCCAACTATTTTCCTTTGCCTTTCTTCGTAACCAAGCATATAAACTCTCACATCGAACAGAGGAAAGCAACTCTATCTCTCTTACTTCCAAAAAAATAAAATAAAATAAAAAATTTAAACTTTTTAATTTGCCCCACTTTTTTTTCTCTTTCTCTTCTCCTCTGTCCCGGCCGTTTCACTCTCTCTCTCTCAATCACCTGTTGGTCTTTCTCTCTTAACTCTTCTTTTTAAGCTTGGTTGATCATATCATCAATGCCCCCATAAACCCTAGAACAAAACCATTTAGCCAAAAGTAACTTAAAGTTTCAGGTTCCCTCACTTTTTCTCTCATTGTTCTCCCCAAAAGAAAACAAAAAACAACAATGAAGAAATCCCATGTTTTGGGTTGTCTTCTTTTTGGGTTTCTTTCAGTCCTTTTTTTCTTCACTTTACCGGTCTCTTCTCAATCCAGTCCTGACTCTTCAGTCATGGAAAAGCTAAAAACAAGCCTCAAGATCCCATCTTCCCTTAACTGGTCTGACCATGACCCTTGCCTATGGGCCAATGTTGCCTGTGAAAACAGCCGTATCACCAGGATCCAAATTCCCAGCAAAAACGTTGGTGGAACCCTTCCTCCTGATCTCAAGAACCTGTCTCATCTTACCACCTTTGAAGTCATGAACAACAAAATCAGTGGTCCAATCCCAAGCCTTGCTGGGTTAAGCCAGTTGGAAGAAGCTAACTTTCACGACAACAATTTCTCATCTTTTCCTTCAGATTTCTTCATTGGCTTAACTTCATTGAATTCTGTTTATCTTGACGACAACCCTTTCGAACCGTGGGAGATTCCAGAGAGCGTAAAGGAGGCAACTTCTTTGAAAACTTTCTCTGCTAACAAGGCTAATCTTAAAGGGAGATTTCCAGATTTGTTTGACCCTACTACTTTTCCAACATTGATAGAACTGCATTTGGCTATGAACAATCTTGAAGGAGAATTGCCTGCCGAGTATGCGGGTTCTATGATTCAGTCTTTGTGGCTTAATGGGCAGGGTTTGAATGGGACAATTGAAGTGATACAGAACATGTCTTCTTTGACAGAGGTATGGTTGCACGATAACCAGTTTTCTGGTCCTTTACCTGATTTTTCAGTGTTAACTCAGTTGAGGAATTTGAGTTTGAGAGATAATCACTTCACTGGTGTTGTTCCTTTGTCTTTGCTTAATTTAAAGTCACTTTATATTGTGAATTTGACTAATAATGAACTTCAAGGGCCAACCCCTAAATTTGCTGACAATGTAATTGTGGATATGAAGGCTGGTAGTAATAGATTTTGCTTGGATGATCCTGGTGCTGCTTGCGATGAGCGTGTCAATAACTTGTTATCTATCATGGAAGCTGTTGCTTATCCAGTGAATTTTGCTGATAATTGGAAAGGGAATGATCCGTGTAATAATTGGCTAGGTATTTCATGTGCTCAAGGAAACATTGTGTCCATTCTTTTTGCGAAAAAGGGGCTTAGTGGTACAATTTCTAGTAATTTTGCTAAGCTTACTTCGTTGACAACTTTGGATCTTTCGGGTAATAATCTTACTGGCACAATACCAACATTGCTCACTACATTGCCAAAGCTCAATCGATTAGATGTTTCGAACAATAGGCTCTATGGAAAAATACCATCTTTTAGGCAAAATGTTGCTATAAAAACTGATGGTAACCCTGATATTGGAACAGAAAGGTCTCCTCCACCGGAAGGCAGGTCACCTGGTGGATCTCCTGGTGATGGGCGTGCTGGTAGTTCTTCTGGGAATGGTCAAAAGAAATCCAATACAGGAACGGTTTTGGGTTCTGTAATTGGTGTGGTTGGTGGCTTGGGTCTTCTTGTTTTGGGTATCTGTTTGTATGCTAGAAAAGGAAAGCGTACCAATAGGGTACAGAGTCCAACTACGGTAGTCATACATCCTCATCATTCTGGTGACCAAAATGGAGTTAAGATCACTGTCGCTGGACCGAGTGTCACGGGTGGAAGTGAAACTTTCAGCCACACGAGCAGTGGACCTAGTGATGTTCACATGGTTGAAGCTGGTAACATGGTAATCTCAATTCAAGTTTTGAGGAATGTGACAAATAATTTCAGTGAGGAAAATGTATTAGGAAAAGGTGGTTTTGGTACAGTTTACAAAGGTGAATTGCATGATGGTACAAAGATTGCAGTGAAAAGGATGGAGTCTGGTGTTGTAAGTGAGAAGGGTTTAGCCGAGTTTAAGTCAGAGATTGCAGTTCTTACTAAGGTTCGTCACCGCCATTTAGTCACACTTCTTGGATATTGCTTGGATGGAAATGAGAGGCTTCTTGTTTATGAATACATGCCTCAAGGGACTCTTAGTAGGCACCTATTCAACTGGAAGGATGAAGGGTTGAAACCACTTGAATGGACTAGACGACTTACAATTGCCCTGGATGTGGCTCGAGGTGTTGAGTATCTACATGGTCTGGCACAACAGAGTTTCATTCATCGTGATCTTAAGCCATCTAATATTCTTCTGGGAGATGATATGCGTGCCAAAGTTGCAGATTTTGGCTTGGTTCGTCTAGCTCCTATTGACGGTAAACAGTCAATTGAAACAAGACTTGCAGGAACGTTTGGGTATTTGGCACCAGAGTATGCTGGTAATTGGTTTTAGTTCTTCTTCATTTTCTGATTATAAATGCCTGCACATTATGCTTTTTTCTCTTTCATTATAGGGAAAGCCTTTAGTTTGTTTTGCTTCCGGGAGGCTTTGCTTTTATGGGATAAAAGCAAGTCAAATTTTCTGGTATCAGAACTGACATTGGTCACATTTTGGCAGTTACTGGACGAGTGACCACAAAGGTGGATGTATTTAGCTTTGGTGTGATCCTCATGGAATTGATCTCAGGCCGAAAGGCACTTGATGAAACTCAGCCTGAGGAGAGTTTGCACCTTGTGACATGGTTCCGTAGGATGTACGTAAACAAGGACACATTCCGAAAGGCTATCGACAAAACCATTCAGCTTGATGAAGAAACACTTGCCAGTATTAGCAGAGTTTCTGAGTTGGCTGGCCACTGCTGTGCAAGGGAGCCCTATCAGAGGCCAGATATGAGTCATGTGGTGAATGTGCTGTCATCACTAGCAGAGCTCTGGAAACCGGCAGAACCAGATTCTGATGACATATTTGGCATTGACCTTGAATTGACTTTACCACAAGCATTGAAAAAGTGGCAAGCATTTGAAGAAAATAGCAATTTGGATGACTCTTCATCATTTCTGGCCAGTACAGACACTACACAGACCAGTATTCCATGCCGGCCATCTGGGTTTGCGGATTCATTTGCAGATGCTCGATGAAAGAGATAAACAACAAGGCAAGTTCTAGAGTCAATCGATGGTTCTAAGACTTCCTTCTACTTGTTCATTCCTCGTTGTAAGGTTTGCTTTCATCTGCTATATTTTGTTGGAGATGATTTCTTTCTCCCCTTTATTACTGTAGTTTGAACAGTTTAAAATTTTATGATGTAGAAGTTTCAAAATGCGATCACGAAGTGGCAGATCTTGGATGCCTTCTTATTTTGGGATACATTGGTGCCATGTTGATACTGATTAGGACAATGATTAAATTATGGTTGGTTAGGACACTGCTTCATTAACCTTTTCATGTGATATCTATACAATTCAGATTAAATTATCTGAATTTGAATAATTCAATTGGTAGCTGTCCTTGTCATTTTTATAACATTATGTTTTTTCCCACATGCTGCAATGAAGTAAAACTCAAGCATTTTCTTGCATGGTTATCTCTGCAACGAAGGGGAGGGAGTTTGAAAGTACTTGTTTGGTTTATTACATTGGATTCATTTACTTTAGCCACATGCCAAAAGGAAAGTGGCTTTATGATCAACTTTTTATATGAAGCCCCGCTCTCTTTATTAAGCCATTTGGACAGCAATCATTTTTGCATTGGCTGCAAGAGAGAAGGGCCCCCCCTTGTGATGATTTAATCTGAATATAAGTTAGCCAACTTTCATTAATCTAATCCAATGCTAGAATAATGAGGTTTTTTTAAGGGTCTGATCACCATTCACGGTGAAGATATATATTCCCTCTGTTCACAGGTTTTAAGTGAAAGAATGATGTGAGCAGATTGAGACACTCCCTCGGAACAGGCGAACAGCTAATCCTTACCAACGAATGTCTGATAAATCTATGTTGTTTGTCTTGTCTGATTGCTCAGTAAATGCCACGTGTCAGGCGCGTAGTGGTTGCATGTTTAGATGAATGCGTGCCACCTGTATTTGTTGCCTACAATATTCTCCACTTTCAGACAGAGATAACTGACGTGGGGGGCCATTCCTCAATATCTTAATCTTATATTGACAAAGCCAATCATCAGCATTATTTCTATCATTAGCGGATTTTGTGGCCATTATTTGTACTAATGATGCTGATTTCATTAGTCAATATCACATATTTTAATCCCTCAAGAATCACGTCTTTTGTGTTTTTTTTTTTTGCCAATCTTACAAGAATCAAGTCTTTAATTCACACACACACACAAAAAAAAAAAAAAAATTCAAGTCTTTAATCCCAACCCTTAATTTACCCCATTCTTAGCCCAATATTTGAGTGTATAATGAGGCGCATAGATTTCTTTTTCTTTTTTTTTTTTCTTACAATATAATCAAGGCTATGTCCTAAGTTTTTTCTAAACTTAATTCTTTAAATGATTTTAAATATGCATTTTCATGTATCATATATTCAAATTTTTATTTTCAAAATATTTTTTACAAAAATCAAACTTTGGTTAGTAAAAAAATTAAACTTCTCTATTGACGAATTAAACTAATTCTTTTAGATACTTACAATTATGCTAAAAATTATTTTTTTCTTGGAAAATATCAAAATAATTAATAAGATTCAAATCTAAGATGACTAAAACCAAAATAGGCTTTTTTTTTTTTGAGTGAATCAATTATTGGTAACAAGCAAAATAGTATATGACTTATACAACTCAATATGAAATTCCTACTAAATTTTTTTACATTTCCCAACCCCTTCAACTCTGAGATAACCAACAAAAAGGGTATTTTGACTTGTTGGGTTTTCTAATTTCTTTCTTACATTTTAAATGGCTTAATATGCATGGAAAAGCACAAAAACCTACCTATTTGATAATATTTCACTTCTTAATCTATTATATCAATCCACTAATTAATCACTCTAACCATAAAAATGAAATGAGATGAGTTTGGGACATGGCATTGTAAAGGCAAAAGGTAGTTGATGCCCAATACATGCTCTAGGGGGAGGGCGGTTCAAGCTTTATCCAATTATAGGCGATTTTTGTGCATGGAATTATGGTGTGGGGTTCCAAATTCCAAGATAACGTGTGAAGGAGGTTAGATTGTGTTCAAAATGTTATTAAGATAGCTCATGTGATCGTTGTGTTTGGTCTAAATCTGAGTTTTATTGTCCCCATTTGGCTTACTTGTGTTCATGTTTATACTTCAATCTCTATTCAAGGATTCTATGAATTGGGTCAATTTTTCCTTGGATTATTAATTAAAATCCCAAACTTATTGAAGAGTTGATAATTCAAAGTAACACAGAAATTACTTGGAATTCTATTTTTTTTGTTTCTTATCTTTTCCCTGTTGGTTACTTGGAACCATATCCCCAACAAAAGAGTCAAAGACAAGAGGACATTTCTCCCTTGGATTACGCATATGCTCCGATTCAATTTCCAGCTAACACAAACCCCAATTTACGCTCCTTGGCGGAAATTTCCTGCGTTGTTTGACTGAATTATAGACAAAAAATAATCAGTGAACCGTAATGAACTGTAATGAACTGTGGGAATGTGGTTGTCATGAAGTTTTCACAGCTGAGACTTGGTTGCCAAAATTTACGTCCAACTTTTCAAATATGGGAAACAACTGTTGCAACGTCCAAAAGGGTTTATAGATTGACTTGTAATGGCATGTTTGCTGAATCAATGGCAGCAGCATTTTCAAAGATTATACAGTGTGAGGGGAATAGAGATAGAGAGGGAGTGGTGGGAGAGGTGTCTGAACTTCGAAATGATCTCATTACCAAGAGTCAAACACCAAATTTTTAATGCTTTTCAGCGAATCCAATACGCTTGCAAATAAAGTTAACTATTCGTATATTTATATAATATAAAATATAAAATTTATATATTTATATAATATTTTATACGAAAATTAAGTAAGATAATTTATATTAACATAAAAATATAAAATATATTTTTAATTTTATTAAACTCCTATATAATTATTATTAAAATTTTATATTTTATTTTCGTATTAAATTAATATTGTATCATATTTTAAATTATAATGTATACTTGCAAATTTAATATTACACTGTCAAACTTTCTTTCTTTCTTGCATTTGATAGTTTGTTAAATCTAAACCGACGTTAACAAATCTGTAAAACTATCACTCTAATAAAAATTTTATGCAAAAATTTGTCTTTTTTACAGCGTCCAAACTTCGAATCCAAGCTACCAATAGAGAACATACAACGGGAATCTTTTGCGGAACTCAGAATAAGCCCAGGCCATTCTTTTTTCCAAAGTTAAAAAATAATGCAGAAAAAAGCAGACCTAATTTCGATGGTTACTGACCCAAAATTGTTGCATTTGGATCAAAAGGCCTGATCCTACTACTGTTTTTTTCCCACAGTTTCGATCCCATCCCAGAAGGATCACAAAGCCCAAAACTTTTTTATTTAATTCTAACATTAAGTACCAACTGTGTAAACCTAACAAAAACAGAAGCGCAAATTCGATTTACCATCAAATTTTCAAAATTGGTTGTTCTCTGCCACTCAAATATAAGCACAACCTACCTGCTGAAATTTGAAGATGAAAAAAAAAAAAAAGAAGCACTATATAGTCATCAGAGATTTTGATTAAGTTTCCCTTTACTCTATTCCGGGATTAAAAGGTGCTTTTGTATGTACTTAAAAGATGAATCGAGTGTATCCAAAAATACCGTAACCAAATTTATCAACTGCGAAAGTTAAGTTGAATCTAAAAGTTTAATATTATGTTATTGTTTTTATAAATTTAATATTTAATATTTATAATTTTTTTTATCTTTAAATTATGACGTACTTTAATAAAAGTTTTTTATAAGTTACCTTATATACTCAATTAATTATCACTATTTTACCAAAAAAAATTCATTGTCGCTATTATTTGCTTAATATTTCTGTAACACTAGCGTAAGTGAGGCTTGATTTGATGAGTTTCAGACTTTTAGTTGCATTGTCTCCTCCGTGTTTGTCTTCGCGTTAGGGTGACCATTTTGCTAAAGCACTTCCATAAACTTTTCCTATGGTGCATTTGCTTTGTCAATTTAATCTAGAATTTTTTTTATTAAACCATATAATTAGTTTTTTTTCACATAAAAAATTTGGATAAAAGAATACTACTCTTTTCTCTAAATTAATTAGTTAAAAAATTAGTTTTTTTACTAATTGTTTCAGTAGGGATTTACAAATCTTTTATATAATTGGCAATAGAAATCAAATCTAAATCTTTCAAGTAAGGTACATTATATTTTATCAACTGAGATACACCCGTTCCATTCATTATTATTATTCTAAAACAGTTACAGGACAATGGGCATGCATGTTTTTCCCCAGTAAAAATATGGTAGAAATGCATTGGGAAGGAATAAATAATTAAGTCCCCTGGAATTGGGATGACTTGTTGGTTTTCAAGTCAATATTAGACGGCAATGCTTCATTCTAAACTTGGGTCATCCCATTTTAGACTGTTGAACAAAATATAATAGGGACTTGGTCGGCTGGTCTCCTTCCATGTTCTACCATCCCTTTTTCGCACCTTTAAATTATATGTATTTGGCACGAGTATGCGTAATTTGTTCAATCTTGTTCTTTCCTAACAGAAAGAAAAGAAAATTGTTGAATTCCACCGCAACTTTCGTATGTTTTTCTTGCCTTAACATTGTTTTCTCAATTAATCAACATATTCCCTTGTTTCTTATTTTATTTCTTTCGTAACGACACCGGTATATGTTAATCAAAGTCGTTCATGCATTAGCTGGTCTTTCGCTCCCATTTTTTCGTAAAATTGGGTTCCTAATTTCAACCAATTTGCGTATGCAAAATTATTTTAAGATTTTTATGAAAAAACTATTCATTATTTTTTTATTAAAAAAATAGTCAATAATAAATTTAAAATTATTAAATATTACATTATAAATAATAATCATATAAATCAATTAGATTAAACTCAAAATTAAAAGATCATTTAATGAACGACATCAATGCAATTTAGAATTATTTTGGCATCATAATTGATTCCGCTGAATTTTTAATAAAAAATGATAATTAAAAAAAAAAAAAAACCAGTCCACCAACCTAAGGAAAATTAAAGTGATCAAACGGTGGTTTTTGGAAAACGCCAATTCTCCGCCACTTCGTTACGTGCTGACAGTCATAGAATTTCTTGCCCTTCGTCTCCTAAACGCCATATCTCAAACTTGCTGTACGCGTTAACAGTTGCAATCACCATATCTATAAACGTTGCCAATTTTTCCAGGAAAAGAAAGTTGCGTCCTCGTTTGGGACGGGTTAGGTACAGGCAAATGCGAAAATGCAAAACCCAAGTAAATTACTCGAACATAAAATATATATATATAAAAAAAATTTTCGACGCTCCTCAATCCTCGTCACGTGGTTGGACCGCTAGAGTCAGTCGGTCCAACGACCCTTACATTGATGGGTGTTTTTTTTTTTTTTTTCGTCAAGATTTAATTTTATTAAATTTACATATAATTTTTTATAAAATTTTAAATTGGATTTTTTTTATCATTTACATATATGTCTGAAATTATCAGATATAAATCATTTTATTTAAGATGGTGTTTGACAATTTAAGTGA